TGTATGCATATAACGTGTGTTGGCTAACAAATGGGATGTTCATATCCACACTTTGCCATGTAAAACAAGTATGTACACACCTATGTACTGATATGAGCATCCAAATACAGGATATGGACTTCTTGTTAAGGTTTCCATATTTGAACATTGAATTTTGTGACATTCAGGACCTGAGATGTGCTTGAAACAAAAAATCTGATCAGAGTACCAGGAGTACCAGATCCTAATTTTGTTGCTTGGGCCATTTTTATAAAAGGCTAATTGTATGCTTTGGAGTCTGTTTTCTCTTGTTTCTTCTGGTGTGAAATTCTAGCCCCATTGAAGTTAATGGCAAAACTCCCATTGACTTCAAAGGGGCAGGATTTCATCCCTAGTGTCTGCAGTATTTATATACATACTGTGCAACATCTGTCCCGCTCAATGGGAGGACAGGAAATCTTGCTAGCTTTAAATCTTAAACAGAGTTTACTGAAATAATCTCACTTGCAAGTAAATACAATTTTATTCTCTACAAATGCTCATCTTATCTGTGACAAACATTAAACAAGCTCTCAACTTAACACTGCATCTAGACTGTCATCATTTTTGCAATACCCCTCAAATGTTTCATTGTTTAATTCAAGCTTTTTTCTTTCATTTAGAGACTATGTCCAACAGTAAGATGATTGATTGAGTATAATTTTAAAGCATAATTAATTATTTCTGTCTCCTTTTCAGTCTAAAGAAAATTAGTGTCTGGTTTTGTTACCAAAGGGGGTAAATGTGTTACATTTTGTATTACACAGAGAATATTGCAGGGATAGTCCACGAAGAGCAATCAGCTATAGGGTCTATTTTTGTTAGTAGCACAGGCGAGCAAATACTGTAACCGTTCATCAGGACATGCAAATGAAATACAATAATGAAGTTTTCAAGCAGACAAAAGCCAGAGTGCCATGCTGTTTTTCCTTTTTTTGTATTTATATTCATGAGGTATTGTAGGAACTGCTGTCTGTTTAAGCACATCTTTGCTTTACCATACAGACGTGTGTGTTTATTCTAGTAATTAAAAAAACCCAATTCTCTGTTGGAGTAGGTTAGTTAATCCTATATGTTTAGGTGGAAACCAAGAGCACAGTATACATGTATTGTACCAGTTTCCTACTACTGCAGTACCCTACTTTATTTGTATTACTAATCCAATGGTGTGCTTTGCAACAATATACAGCAATACTTTTCCATAACATCCCCCTTTCAAAGATGTAAACATGCCTTACAAATATTAATTTAGAGTCACAGCACCAGTGTTGGGAAGCCAAATTCTACTATCCCCATTTGACAAAACTGGGACAAAGATACGTTAAGGGCCAGATTTTGACACAGAGGTCAATAGTTTTTCCAGCTTTACATCTATGTCACTAAGAACAGAATCTGGTCTTAGTTCAAGGTGAAATCCAGATCCCACCAAAGTCAACCTATGGCAGAGATGGAACTAGAACCCAGTATCCAGAACGCCCAGTACTGTGCCTTAATCTGCCATCGTCTTCCTTTTGCCTTCCATTCCTCTGTCACAGCCATAAAAAATAATATAATAAAAAAGTTCTAAACATTCATCATATGACACATAATCTAAATCTCATGCATGCTTTTGTGTAAAGGTAGATAATCAAACAAGTAAAATTAAAACCTTCCACAAACCAATTCATCAAAGAGCAACCAGAAGAAACCAGCAGTTTTACTTAATATTTAATCAATCCAAAAATGTCTCTGTCTCAGTTGCAAAGGCAAAATTTGCGACAGGGCATTGGACAGATGGCTTTTTTCTGCTCTCAGTTACATGAGTGTAAATCAGGTGTAAATCTGTTGAAATGTATGGAGTTACACTAGTTTTACACCATGTAAGAGAAAGCAGAATCAAACCTACTGTATTTCTAGCCATGAGCTACACCAGTGCCTGTTCCTTAGAGAATTATATATATACACACACATTAATATTGGAACAAGCATGTTAAGTTTATCAAATACAATGTTTAGAAGAATAGTAAGCCGGAGTGTTCTCTCTGTCTGACAACACCTAACCATTATCAAATTAATTTATGGGGGACTGTACAGGGGGCAGTGAGAAAACCATTTTATTGTTAATGGTTGAAATAAAAAAATGCCATGTTCAAGGAAAACTAGAGCCCGATCCAGTTTCCATTTAAATCAAAGGGAGCTTTACACAAACTTCTGTGGGAGTAGGATGAGGCCCAGAGATAGGTTAAAAAACATGGAGACTTTTTTAAAGGTAGCATTAATTTAGAAGGCTACCTTCAAAGCCCTGTTTCTTTAAAAACAGTTTTTCTGTAATAACCTGCTACTCCCTTTAAAGCTCCTCTCCCATATTCATATCTGGTATTATAGAGCCCATGCTAACATAAAAGCCTAAATTCTGTGGGACTTGCACTCTATGATTGAAGTCTTTGCAGTGGGATTGCATGCCATGTAAATCAGTGCAGAATTTAGTCCAGACTTGAGCTCATTGACTCCCTGAAACATCTTAAAAGAAGATTACGCCCATGTAATAACACACAATCCTTTCCCAATCCTTGAAAAAAAAATCAAGGTTTTCGGCCAGCTCATGCTGGTTGCCCTGGAGTTCCAGCATAATTCAGGAACCAAAATTTATCTCTGCAGCTCACAAAGAGCTCTGACTCCTGACTTTGGCAGGCTCCCCGGCCTGCCATCGAACATGCATACACATATCTCTCTATGCCCATATATGGAAGGTGGCTCCCACTGCTGACACACTAGCAAGTGAGCTAAGCATACTGAATTAACCAGCAATCATCTTGACACATGGGAGAGAGATCTCTGGAGGCAGACTGTGAAATTTGTATCTTCACAGACAATTGCTCTTTAAGAGAAACACATGTATCTGCTTCTGTTTTAACAGATACGTCCATGGGCTTTGTCTTGTCTATGCTAGAAAATGTTGTACCCATTTTCCACGTACTTGTGTTAGCAGTGTTTTAAATGGTAGTGTAGGCAGGGCTCAGTTTTTTGTTTTTTTTTCCCTACCGCATCATGAAGACCTGGTCTGACCAGGTACATCATTGCTGGAAAATTGGTACAAAATTTTCTAGTGTAGATTCATCCATGATGGTCAGCTCCCTCCAAAACACACGTATGCACTCCCTCTATGCAGTCCCACTTCTATCCAAGGGATAACTGTGGGCAGCAGCTACGTGACATAACTTCTGTAACGCCTAGATTCCAAACCATTTCTCAGGCCGACCTTGCATTTACAGTTTCATTCTTGACTTTTCCCAGTGAAAGTGCTTAGAGCTCCTCATTCTTTCATGGCTGTTGTTATGCACTTTCTATTGGTAGCAGGGCCGGCTCCAGGGTTTTGGCTGCCCCAAGCAGCCAAAAAAAAAAAAGCCGCCATCCGAGCCAGAGTGAGGGACCGCCCGCCGAATTGCCGCCAAATAGCTGGACGTGCCACTCCTCTCCGGAGGGGCTGCCCCAAGCACCTGCTTGCCAGGCTGGTGCCTGGAGCTGGCCCTGATTGGTAGTCTGTTTATCTGGGTGTGATGGGGCGGGTGTACCTTGCCCCTCTGTGAACCAAGAATGGGCTTAAAGGAGTCTTCATCCATTTTATCAGTGATCAAATAGATAGGAAAGAGTTCAACCCTTTCTTGGGGCAGAAAGGAGGAAGCTAGCCCTTAAAGATCACCTGAGCTGTTAGACCTGGAGATAAGAAGAGTTTGAAACTGTGGCAAACTACTGAGCAATAAAACTGACAGCTCTGCCTTGTAACAAGGCATGCAAAGGAACCAGAGGCTTCCAGAAGTAGAGACAGGTTGAGCGGATAGGTGGGCCTAGGGGAAGGGAGTTATTTTTCTCCCCTGAACAATGAGATATATTTCTGTGGGAGACTGTAAACACAGTAAGAACTGGTGCTTTTCCAGCTGGGCTCTTGGCTGTAGAAAGCAATCCTGTGGGTGTAGACACTTGGAATGGGTCAAAGGAAGATTCTCTCTTTTAGCTGTGGCTTAGTGTGGGGATTAGGGATTTTTTTTTATTTGGACCTTTGGTAAAAGGAGGTATCCAACTAATGTTGTCGTCCTCTGGTTAAGATAGTAATGTTCTTGTTAGGCTCTAAAAGTAGGGAGAAAAACAAACTAACAAATTGTGACTATAACCCTCTGAGGTGTCTGGTAGCCCTATTACATGGGGCAAGTGTTCTTCTGTGGGGGCTGTGTCCACCTAATTACTTGGGAATGAGGCTGGTGCATAGGCAGCTTACATGACTATGCCATCGCAATATCTTCAGGCTATTTTTTTGTATTATGGTTCGACACCCTCTCTGTTCCCCAAGGAATTCCTAGATACTTATGACAACATAGTCCATCTTGTTGGCAACTATATGTGCCCTTGAACTCTTTATTGTTTTTTTTACTTCATTATTACTATTTGTTATTTGAGAACTTGAGTGCAATCAGGTGTGATCAAGGATAGAAAGGCTTTTGGCAGCCATGAGGCATGGCTGACAAATAGAAAGGATGGACTTCCTGAAGAAAAGACAGCACTTGCGTAATTATGCTATCTTTCCAGCTAATCCCCTATCTGTTAGGCACCCTATACTCTAGTGAATCTGGCCTATCATTCTGTGACTCAGCATGTCATTGACTAACAGATGGACATAGCTACAAGCAGCCACTAGACAAAATGTGAGCATCAAGTGTGTTGAGGAAAATCAGGGCTAGGTAGCAACTAACTGCTTTTGTGTCTCTTTTTGAATATAATTTGATATAGGATATAATTTGTAGGTCAAACCCAGAACTAAATTAGCTTCAGAAACAACTTTGAAAATAGCCTTCACTGTGCTGAAAGGGATGTTTTAGCTAGGCTCCATCAGGATTGACAATATGCATAAAGTCTGGGTAAGATAACTCTCTGGTAGGGGGAAAAGAGGGGACATGACAAAGGTTTGGAAAATAATGAATGACATAGAGAAGACAGAGAGACAAGATGGGTAAGATAATATCTTTCATTGGACCAACTTCTGTTGGTGAGTGAGACAAGCTTTCGAGCTTACACAGAGCTCTTCTTCATGTAACCTGAAGACCTAGGGCCAGCTTCCAAGAAAATTCTGCCTCCAGAGTTTGTACCAATAATCTAAAATTGCACCAGTCCTATAGAGTGTAGCCCTCTTGTAGGGTTACAGAGGGTGAACCAGGTTCCAGTCCCCCCAAAACTTCAGCAATTAGGACCAGAACTATTCCCAAAAGTGGTAGAGGAGGGGAGATGAGGTATCTTCAGAGTCCGTGGACACCAGTGATGTTAACAGACCACATAGTTTAGTTTGAACTCTGCGTTTTTTTTATTTGTGGGCCAGTGGCATATTCTCAATTCCTCCCACCTCTAGCCATCTTCTCTGTTGCCAGCGGTTCTTCCTTTCCTTTAGATCTTTGGGGCACTGAAATACAATTTATTCTAAAGCTACTAAAAAGACTTCTGTATTTCCCCTCTCTCACTTGGTGGAAGCTAGGTGCGTATGGTCTTAATCTGCTGCAGTGATGTTCCCACCATAGGAGTTGACTCTGTGGGTGCTCTGGGGCTCAAGCACCCACTGAAAAAAAATAGGGGGTGCTCAGCACCTACAGGGCCAGATTAATCATTTGTGGGACCAGCCACCCAGACCATGGCCCTGCCTGGCCTCTCCCCACTTTCCCCCTCTCAGATCCTGCCACTCTTGGCCTCTTCCCCCAGAGACCCGGTCTGCCACTCGCCGTGGAAAGGTGGAGAGAGGGGTTAGAGAGGAGTACCTACAGGCAAAAACAAAAGTCAGCACCTGTGGTTCTCACCCCATCCATTAAAAAAAAAGTGGTGTATTCTTCTAACCTGCCAAATGACGATTTATGTTAATTCATATGTTATGATTTGAGTTGGCGAATGCAAGTGCTTTCCCATCTCTAGTCTTACACCTAGATCTAGTGGAGTGATGTGGCTCTTGTTGTGAATAAGCCGTATCAGAAAGGCAGCAGCCTCATGAGACTGAGGTTATAGAAAATGTTGTTAATGATACAGGAAATTAAACCGTTTTCATTCAGCTCGCAGGTTTTCTTGGGCTCCTCCTAGCCCTCCAGCGTCTCGTGCAGCCCGACGTTTGCGGTACTAGGAGTGGAGGGGTAGAGGGCGTGACCTCTACTGGAAACGAACAAGAAGAAACAATGCTTTACTATGACTGTAGCGGGGAAGTAAACGTGATCCTCAAACTAAATGGTCTCTTCCCAGCCTGCCCACCTTCCTCCTCCCCTCTCCATATGGCTCCGCCGTGACGGCGGCTGCTGCAGCGTGTGGATTTAACTTTCCACGCCAGGATCAAGGGCTTTCCATCACCTTATCTCCGTCTCACACCCCTTTCCCCAGCTCACACCCGCTCACCATATGCTCTCGGGAGAGGACACCGGCTGCAGCAGCTGATCCGACCCTGCCAAAGCCGAGGCTGGCTCAGCAGCCTCCGGGGCTGGGCTGCTCCACGGGAGGCAGCCGGGCAGCCTAGCTTGCTGGGGCCTCCCCCTTCCCCTCCATTGGGGGGCCGTGAAGGCGTGGCGGCTGCGGTTGGCCGCCAGAGGCTTCGCTCTACGCCGAGAGCCCGGCGCTTGCTCGCCCGGGGGGGTAGCGTGCGAGCTTCCCTCCCTGCCCATTGCCGGCGGGGTGGGCGGGTCGCTGGCAGCGGCGGCTGTGGGCTGGCGGCGGAGACGCAGTCCGGGTTCCTGCCCCAGACCAGCAGCAGCAGGGGGAGCGGGCGCCGCGGGGCGGGAGAGACACGCCGGAGGCGAGAACTTTATCCCCAGGGACGCCTCTCCGCCTCGGGCCCGGAGCTGGGGAGTTGCGGCGCGTGGGGCTGTCGCCTCGGGCTAGTCCGCTCGCTGCTCTCCCAGCCGGCGGCAGCAGCTGGAGTAACCCGTGGCTGCTGAGGAGCTGACCCGGCCGCCCCTACCCTTTGTCCGCCCCACCCCAGCTCCTCTGGTGCGTGGAGACATGACAGCGGTGCGGGGCAGCAGCGGAACTCGGCGCTAGCCCTGTGCAGAGGGAGCGGATCCTCCGCCGCGGCTGCCTCCCACTCCGCCTTGCCCCCGGGGCTGGGCTCTCTTTGCCGTGGCTGGAGGAGATGGTGCCCGCGCCAGGGTTAGTCTAGTCGCCACCTACCCACCCCCAGCTGCTGGGCTAGCGCGTGTGGGCGCCGCTCCCCTCGCGGCTCTGCTTTATGACCATTTGACCCAGCTTCAGAGCTCGTCGGAGAAACGCCGCCTGGATAATGTCCACACCAAGCAGATTCAAAAAGGACAAAGAGATTATAGCGGAGTATGAAAGTCAAGTGAAAGGTAAGTGGATGTTAATAGAGGGGGGAGGGGAGAGAAATACCCCCTCCCTTTGTGCGTGTGTGTGTGTGCGCGCTGCCTGACACTGTTCCTAACTTGGGCTGCCTCTGAGGCTCATCACAAAATCCAGAGCGATCACAATGAGTAGGGAGGGGGAGGGTAAAGAGATGAGTTTCAGTTGAATGAGCTGTACTGTACATGCTGATCAGAGTCATTCTGGAGTCACACTACACTGGGGGTGAGGACCGATTTCACACGCCCGGATTTGCACTTCAAACAACGGAGTGATTGCTGAACTTAATTTCCCTTAGCAGTGTCATTTAAGATAGGGGAAGGCAGACGCCGCTCATGCCGCCCTTTATAATTTGTCAGGAATCAGTTTGGAGAAGGGCGGGCGGGGGACTGATTTACAGCTGGAATGTTTATGAACTGTCTGGCTGAGATTATGCACCTTTCATTAATCAGTGAGGTTTAGTAACCTTTTAAAAAGCTTGGCAGTTAAACTGAAGAAAGACAATAGCAAGCCTTGCCCTTTTCGTAATGCACATGGCTGTATTTCCCAAGGATTGCTTTGTATGTTGTGCTGTAGCTGCTTGATTAATAAATGTATCTCTTCAATATTATAAATGTTTCAGCTTCAACATTAGCTACATTTTTACATCCAAGAACTGTGCTGAGAGCAGTGCAACTGGAGTCTTGGTTTAGCTGCTAATATTCCTTAGACCTTCAGTGTTCAAAAGGAAAGGAAACCCGTCTCTTTTTGTAAAAATATGTTTTGTGGAACAGAGGACAATAAATTAATGACATGGGGTGTGCATGTTCCTTGATGCATATTGGTTCCTTTCCATACTGACACGGTGGGTGAAAACTTGTGCTGTTCAATGAAATGCTTATACTACTCCAGTGAATATGTATGCCAATGGATAGCTACAGACTTGTCTTAACAGCTCAAAATGCTACATAAGCCTTTAACACTGACTATATTATAAAGACAGTATATAAGCAAATACTAACTAGGGCCCTGATCCTGCTATGTGAAATGCTGGCCAGAGCTTGCCCTCACATGGAACCCCGCTATGTGGGTGCAGAGATTCCCCCCACATATTCAGGATTGGGGCCTGTGGATCCAAATGAGGCTTTGGAAAATGGGGAGAGTACCTCACAACTATTTATGAAATCCAACAGAATATCAATAGTTGCATAATCCATCTTCTCTTTTTACTTGATCCTGCAATGAGATCACGATTATGATATCTCAAGTTCAGCATTTTCATGGCAACCAACTGTGATGAAATAAAAGAAAACCGTCATTGTGTTTAACAGAATTAAAAAGATACTGTGCATTGAGGGGAGGTGTTGTCTTTATCCTTCTCTGCCTGATCTCCCCACCTCCCCCCTCATTATTAGCTAATTTCAGTAAAAACAAAGACTGGGGTAGTGAAGGCATCTGGTTATAAACTGTCTCCTCTGGCGTTACAGTCCCCCTTTATAATTGCCACTACTTCACAATGCATTTATAAACCTAATGTATTAGGAATTTTGATTTGTTCACATTGTTCCCTTGTGGTGTCTCTGAATGTGTACAATGGTTGTCTTGACACTGCTGAAGTGATGACGCCCTTAGCAAAGCTGTTTAGAAAGATCCACTAGGACCTGTGGATGTAATCACAGCCTCTTTTTCAAAGACCTATATAACAATTTAATTCCAGATTACAGGAAATCTGTTTTCCCCATTCTGGCATCACTTTCTTAATACTAACTGAATATTTGTGTAATGTCACAACAGATCTCCAAGGCCAGATAAGCAAATATAAACACAAATTACAAACAAACAAACTAGAGTCAGGTCCTGACCCCCAATATGGTCTCTTTTCACTGGAGAAACCCAAAAGGACTATAAAGGTGCCCTAGTTAGATAGCAAGGTAACTGTCAGGTAGTGTAAAATCAACAAAGCCAGCTCTGTGCCACTTGTCCAGCATAGATGTGTCAAGGCATGCTGGGAAAAAGGGCCATGGCCCAAGCACCTTTTCCTCCAATGATATCTGGTTAGTGTTATGACCCCTAGGGAACTGTTACTAGCAACATAAATTAAAGCTGCCCTAGAGATATGGGGATTAGAGCAGTCCCTAGAATATAGCATGCACAAAGCTGGCATCTTTTGTCCTTTTCCCCCCACCAAGGTCCTGTGCTGATTACAGCTTGGTGTGACGCAGGGATCATTCTGGTCCCTAAATGCTGCAGTCCCAAAAGCCATAACTTCCAGAATTTGACAACTCAAAATGTATGCATTTGTGTAAACCCAGTTGCAAGACTTATCTGAATATGTTATTGGAGCAAATGGGCTTCTATTATACATCGCTAGTAAAGTGTGTTTGTGTATGTGGTGGTGCCACATATGGAAATGAAGACTTTCAATGTCCTACTTTACATATCTTGCTGTGCTGTTAATTCCTTGACTAAGAGTCAGTTCTATTAGATATTGTGCCAATTAGTTTCTAGCTTATGTGAGCTGAAAGTTATTACTTGCAATACTTTTCTAGTTGTATGAGTAGACTCACTCATTGTATAGGCAGTTCATACAAGAACCTCAGAAATACAGATAGAATTACAAACTAACAGAAATACAAAGGGTACATTTCATTCATGGGTGGAGCATGTGAACATACCACTCCAGTTTCACCTGGTCCCTCGTCTCACCATGAGAAACTTGGTCTGCCAGTGATTTGTGTTGTTCTTAAAGACTGCTTTTGTCACCAGGAATAAAACTATCACATTTGCAGAAAAAAGAAAATATTTAAAATAAGAATCTTAAACTCTAACAAGTGCAAGGCTATAGAGTCTTTGGTCCTGATCTTACAGTTAGAGCCACTTGGGTGGACCCTTGTACCCATGCTCAGCCCCATTGACTTTGGGGATATTCCATGCCAGGTGCAAGACTTGACCTAACTGGGTTTGATTGCAAGGTTGGGGCCTTAATTTGTAGGGAATAGTTGGAGAAAGGCCACTTGCATATAAACCTAAAATTCAGTGATTCATTGGAAGTGAGAGACCTGAGTATAGTGAGCAATGCTGGTTGTACTGTAACTTTGTTGTTAAGAATAGATACTTTTGTTAAACTGATTAGCTGTGTCACTTTCTAATTTAAGTAGCCTTTATGAGGGCTCTCAGGATTTAGTTTATTTCAAATCCATTTTTGACAGTTGTTCTTAAGGACAAGCTTAACATTGGTAAGGTAGTGTGGGGCATGTGCCTGACAGATCTCTTTCTTGTTGGATAATTTAATGAAATGACTTGGAATCATAGAAGGGACCTTGAGAATTCATTTAGTACAGTTCCCTGCACTGAGGCAGGACCAAGTATACCTAGACCATCTCTGACAGGTGTCTGTCTAACCTGCTCTTAAAAACTTCCAATGGTAGGAGTTCTACAACCTCCCTTTGTAAGCTATTTAGTACTTAACTAGCCTTATAGTTAGAAGTCTTTCCTAATATCAAACCTAAATTTCCCTTGCTGTGGATTAAGCTGATTATGTCTTGTCCTACCTTTAGTGGATGTGGAGAACAATTAATCACCATCCTCTTTATAACAGCCCTTAACATATTTGATCACTATCAGGTCCCCCCGAGTCTTCTTTTTTTCAATACTAACATCCCCAGGTTGTTGTTGTTGTTTTTTTTAAGCTTTCCTCATAAGTCAGGTTTCCTAAACTTTTTATCCTTTTTGTTGCTTTCCTCCAGACCCTCTCCAATGTACCCACATCTTTCTTAAGGTGTGGTCTACAGTTAGACACAGTTCTCTAGCTGAGGCCTTACCAGTGCTCAGTTTAGGGGGAAATTACCTTGCGTGTCTTACATGCAACACTTCTGTTGATACAGCCCAGAATATTAGCCTTTTTTTGCAACTATATTACATTGCTGACTCTCATTCAATTCGTGATCCACTGTAACCCTCAGATCCTTTTTATCAGTACTACCACCTAGCCAGTTATTTCCCATTTTTGTAATTGTGCATTTGATTTGTTTTCTTTTCTTTCTAAGTATAATACTTTTCTTTATAGAATTTCATCTGGTGGATTACAGACCAATTCTTCTGTTTGTCAAGCTCATTTTGAATTCTTGTGTCCTTCAAATCAGTAATAATTACAATAATCTGAATACGTCTGTCAACCTGATTTGCACCTTCCTTATATTAATTTCATCAAAATG